TAAATTTTTGGATGAGCCTGGAGGACAGAGGCAATGTAGTTGATGTCGCCGGTGCTCAGGGTGCGAGAACCACCTCGAGGTCGAGAGAACGGATTTGTTGTTTGACCATAATCACGTTGGAAAGCCAGAACATCGTAAACAGTACGAATACAGCAGCCGGCGAGCTGTGCAATTTCCGCAGCTGGTCGATGTTGCTCGTAGTGCCAGACGACAATACGCTTCCTGAGTTCGGGAGATAGATGCGGCATCAGAGTAGCGGAGGCGGAGCCGGGACCCGAAACGTCAACCCCCTGGTGACAGCGGGTCACATGCAAAGAGGTACAAACAACTTTTCGGCGAAAACTGTGTGCAGTTTCACATGCAAAGAACTGTAACCCTAACCAACCTTAACCAAAAACCCTAACCAACCTAACCAAAACCCTAACCAACAGAAATATATATCCCCTGGGACTGAGACACCTAAGCATTAACCCTAACACTAACCACTAACCCCTAACCCCTGACACTAACCTTGGCCCTATGCGGGCCATAACAGGCCAGTGAACATGCCTATTATGTGTTGTCAGCTGCACGGTATATCCCTGTAATATTTATGCAATATATTGCTCTTGTGGCTCAGTTGGTTTGAATGTCATTTCTACTGCTATTATGTAATCTGATATATAATCTTTTTGAGTTTGACTCCCCCTACACTCACTTTTTTTAAATTCTGACTTCATTACTATATATGGTAACCCGGAGAATAATGCATTATGCCCTTGGACTCAGTCCAGCATTTAATGTATTATCCTGGCCTTATAAAGTGGTGTTCCTTTCACACGGCAGCTTCGGGGGTCTTTGCACTTTCCAGTGCACGGATTCTCCGGGTCGTTCCATGGTTCAAGTGTGACTGCCTCCAACTGCATGTTCCTATGCGGACCTGTCTATCTCCTCGAATCTGACCTTATCACATACTTTCCCGCCGCTGCCCAAATCCCTGATTCGCCCCGGGCTCATTTACGATGGGGGGCTTGTCCATTGCCTTTAGATGGGTTCCGAAATTACCCACTCTCATTCAATCCTTACGAGTGCCTACTTTCGTGGAGGGCAGGTAGGGTATGGTATGGGATGGGTTCAGGGAGTGCAGCGACCACGCAGCGGAGTAGGATTGGTTGTGGTATGGTATGGTATACTGGGAGCGCAGCGACCACGGCGCGGAGTGGATTCGGAGAGGTAGCAGAGATGGAGACGGAGTGGATGCAGAGCAGCCCACGGAGCCGGAGGCGAGATGCCTCGATGGAGGAATGCAGCGCAAAATTTTTTCTCGGCAAATTTGTCACTTTTCATTTTTATTCTCACCCGCCATTCCCTCCCTTCACACATCTTCTTTTCTCGCAGCTCAAGAGTGGGGGGCTCTGTAAGGAGTCATTTATCCATTTTACTTACTATTTTAGTTACTCTTTCGCTACGAGTCACATGTACGTAGATCACATGATCTTATCTTACTTTTACCACAAACCACCTTGTCCACCACCTTTCCAATTCCTGTCGAGTTACTCCAGGTCTCTGATAGAGGCAAGGACTCTGGTATATCGCCTAGCCTGGCATACGCACTAGGCACTAGGCGACCATATTGCACATTTACGACTTATACGACTTACTTCACGCCTGATCACGATAAGACCCTACGCTCAGTTCCCTTGAATATTCGAGGGTTCTAGAGAGTCTACAACTCAGAGAGTACAAATATTCGTCTCCTGGTAGTCTCTTGAAGAGCTAGACCGTCTAACGAGGGTCCTTCACACAATATAAGGCTTGATCATCCCGCCAGGGCTAGCGTACGATGGATATCCCTTCGTAAGTGCTCGTGAAGGCTTACAGTATATGAGTTTAGGAGCATCATCCTCGCAGGATTAGGGCCAAAGTTGAGCTGAATAGAGCTGTTTGGCAAATGATGTAAATCAAAAATATGCTGAAAACCTAAGCGAAACTGATGCAAAAACTTTGCTCCACAATGTAGAACGCTGCTCCAAAATACAGTGAGACAACCAGAAGATAGTGTAAACTCTCAGCTCCACAATGTGAAACGTTCTGGGACTTGATGTAAAAAAAGTCACTTTACATCGCTTGCCAAACAGCTCTAATGTCGCTATTGCATCAGTAGAACAACGTCGGATCATCGGGCCGTCATACACTGCCACCACGTTATTTATTCGACCAGCTCAGACAAAGCTCAGAGCTGGTTTGCTGTTGAGTCGAGTCTGCCTCGACTGTCAGACATTGATTTCGACTCGATCAAGGTTGAGTTGACATCGGGTTTGCTGCCTCCCACCCTCTCCCGCCGAAGTCCAGATAATCCCGGAGTGTGGGAACGCTCACCCAATTGGGTCGAGCCGACCTCGAATTGTCATTGCCTTCATACATTGTCTCCATGATTCTGAAAACAAACAGTGAGCCATCTGGCATACATAATTGTTCGGGTTGTTACCCACTCTTTCGCTCTGTTGTGGCAAATAACTCCCAATTTTGACACAAATGTCATGGCTCAATCATGGCTGCGGGAGAGAGAATGGGAAAACTTGCACGAAAACAATATGGGACAAGTTAGATTCATCACAGCCTATCGAGGTCCACTTTTTATTTTATTTCTATCGAATTGGGGTGAACATAAATAATGTGGTGGCAGTGTACGTACGACGGCCCGATGCAATAGCGACGTTCAGCTCAACCTTGGCCCCAATCCTGCGAGGATGATGCTCCTGAACTCATATACTATGTATGGACACAATATAAGGGTATTCTGAGATTTCACCCAATTTTTTTCCTCCCCCTTCCAATTTTTTTTTCCTCTTTCTTTTTTTTCTTTTCTCACTGCGTTCAGACCCCCCCATAGGCACAGGTCTGCCAGATCCTGATAGGCAGATGTGTAGGCAGACCAGTGTGCCGACCCTTGCCCATCCATCTGCCCATCCCTGCCGAGGTTGGTCTAGGTATTCCCACTGGATTAGGCACACATAGACTCGTGTGGGCCGATGAGCCTAGCTAAGCCTAGTTAGCCAAATTCAAAATCTGACATGGTTTGTACCTGTCCAGCCATTCCAACCAACACCAACCTAGACCCAGGTCGGCCAAGGTTGACCAAGGTTGGCCAAGATAGACACACCACTGTCGGCAAAGATCTACCAAGGTGGGCAGGCTTTGCCTTGGTAGGGATGCTAGACCAACGTCGGCCAACACCTATTAGGGTAGACCAACGTCGGCTTAGGTGGGTAGTCCGTAGGCAGGGATCGGTGAAGGTGGGCACATCTGTGCCTATGGGGGGGGTCTGAATGCAGTGTCTTTTTCTTTTTTTTTTTTTTGATGCCCATATACTATGTATGGACAGTATAAGGGTATTCTGAGATTTCACCCAATTTTTTTTCCTCTTTCTATTTTTGCAACATCCGGAACTTGATATGTATTGGCCACCTACCCGCCAGCCTCGTTCTCCAATGCTCTGTTCTTGCATTTCCCCGACATGACTGGCTGGACTTGCTTATATTTCGCGAATACGCTGCTTAGGAAGCTGTTGATGTACATTTCATCTGTTCCATTCCGTCTCGACACTTCTCGCTTTCAGAGACGGCACGGCAAAGTTGTCGGTGTTCGACGGAAGTGTTATTCAGCGCTGTTGCTCAGAAGAAGTCAATTCCCATCCTACGGACCGCCGCGTTTTGGAGCCTATAAACGAGAGACATGCATTGGACAGTTCTATAAAATTTGAACAGTCATACATATACTGAAGATGCTACATTCAACTGCATATCTCGCTATCGCCCTCTTCGTCTCATACAGCTCTGCCTCATTCCATGATTTCGGTATCCCCACCTCCAACGCGACTGTCGATGTCAATGCATTCAATGTGGTCAATTTCACGCGGTGAACGCGAGTGAGTGGATCTTTGCGCCGATTCTACCTGGCCGGCAATCTTTTACCCTCCCTGCACACTACTTCCTCATCGAGGACGAACAACTAGTGCCTTGGTCTTTGCCCCCGGTGGCATTGTTAACTTATGAAGAATCCGAACAAAAAAAGAGGCTATTTATGCTTGTTTCAAACATAAGAGGCCCAATATTTTCATTTATTGCCTATCCCATTATACTGTACATAATATGGCCACCCAGGCACTTGCAGGGCTCGTATCTTTCCGACATACAGGATCATCTCATCACGATGACACAGAGAGAAGATCCTCTCGCGCTCGCACGCGAACTATCTTGCGCAGATCTCGATTGAGATGACCGATGCGAACAATCAGATCAACGATGTGCTCTCCAAGCTCACTGCACTCGGGATGGTCCTCATTCCAATGAATCTTGTCACCGGTGAGCTGCTGCCCCTTCCTTTCTTTCTTGCGTCTTCTGCGCGAAGGCTGACTGGCTTTGCAAAGGTCTGTGGGGCATGAATGTACACGTACCTGGGCAAAACATCGAAGTGAGTATATTTGTCTCTCTTCATGTACCAGCGACTCACCACCTCAAAAGGGGTACACATGGTTCTCTTCCATTATTGCATGTCTTGTGGTGTTTGCGATTATTGGCAGATACTCTACTTATAAATTCATGGTTCATAGACGATAGGATAGACTCCGGACAGTATTATTCATCATAGCATAACATCATACTATAATGTAATGACCTCTGGTCTAGGATCTCAATCTCCTGTTGCCGTTCTAGTCTTCAACTTAATTCTGTTTGCTTGCAAACGCACACACCGGGGGCAAAGACCAAGGCACTAGTTTGACATGTTTTAAAGGCATATGAAATGCTGTCGCCGACACATGTTGAATTAAACTGGAACAAAGCCTGCAAGGCTGCCATCCACAGACAACTTGAAGTGGTCGCTTTGTGAGTCACAGGCTTGTTTTTGGTGTGTGTGTGTGTGGGGGGGGGAGGGGGAAGAGGGGGTGCCAATAAATACAAAGAAGGACGAAGCAAAAAGGGATCCAAAATGACAAAAAAAAAAGTACAAAATGGGAATAAAACCCCTGGCGGGATTCGAACCCGCAGCCTCCAGATTACGTAATCACGCTTACGCAAGCGTAGAAGTCTGACGTCATAACCATTAGACAACAGGGGCATAGAGGTGGAAGAATATCTGGAACCCATATGTCTGATAGTAAACCTCAACCAATTATGGAAAAGGCCCATCCAGAACTTTGCAATCAAGAAAAATCATTTTGTGGGAGATAAATATAAGACACACGAAATCAAATCACCACGAAATAATGTTCTAGTTTGCTTTAGTATGTATGACGTTCCCGATGTTGCAAAATCAAACCAGAAAAAACTTTTGGTTCCAGAAAACGATCTTAGACCTCTATATCAACTCTATATTATATATTTGCATAGTATGTAGGTCCAGCATACCCATTCAGAAAAGAATAGGGCCAGATCTAACCACAAGTTGGGTAGAACACAATTTCGGAACATCGGAAAACAGAACAAAAACATAGGTCAACCTTTGGCATCCTCCCGTTTCTTTCTTGCCAGCTTTCGCTCAACTATACCCACATACTGAGCCATCCCCTTCTCCATCAGTTTCAGCTTTCCCCCGCCCACACGATACGTCTTCCCAGGTGGAGTGTCATTATCATCCTCGTCCTCTTCACTCGAAGAATCCTCCGACGCGTCGTCGTCTGGTGCCGCATGCCGTAGTGATTCGCCCTCAATCACAACGCGGCTGAACCAACTGCACAGACCGATCAGAGTTCAGGATTAAGGAGAAGTAGGAACAGGACTCACCGGTCGTGCGTGATTATGATTATCGCGCCAGTGAATGTCTTGAGAGCTTGCGCGAGGGCCTGAATGGTAGGGAAGTCGACATGTGTAGTCACTTCGTCGAGCAGCAGCAGCGGAGGCGGTATGAATACTATGAGCGCGATAGCCAGCCGAACCTATTAAAAATGAGCCCGCGATAGACGCGAAACAGGATTATTAGAAACCTACCTTTTGCCCGCCACTCAACTGCGCAAGGGGCGTATCACTTGCAATCTTGCCTTGGAGGCCAAACGATCCGAGGCACTTCCGCGCGTCCTGCTCGACGACGGTGTCACCCCTCGCCTCGAAGTATTCCATGAAATACGACAATGCGGTGACCGGTCTGTCCGCCGTCGACCGCGAGAGAGAGCCCGATAGCTCCTCTACGGAATGCTGACCTACAACATGATTAGCCCCGCACTGCATAGTGGGTCAGCCTGAAGGGAATACTGACTGAAATAGCCAATCTTGAGGAGAGGATGTCGGACGATGTTGCCTTTGGTAGGTTTAAGCGTGCCCATGATGAGCTTTGCAATCGTCGATTTGCCCTGCCCGTTCGCGCCTACGAACGCACACCGACCGCCTTGATTGATGGTGAAAGTGATACCCTCTAGGAACGGCTTCTTTGCTTTGGGGAACCGGTACTCTACCGCATCGAAGTGGATCAAGTCCCCAAGAGTGCGTAGTTTTTCGGGACTCTCAATGTTGATTTTGACCCTCGCTTCGGTGACGGCCTTGTCGATGTCGATACGGTTGGAATTGAAGTAGCCGGCCATATCGCGGTTGAGTTTGAACCGCGTCCCTTTGGCGCTAGTTTCCGCTCCCCAACGTTCATCCAGTCTGAACACGAAGATTTAGTCGTGTTGAAGAAGGCGAAAAATGGGACCAACTTTTTCTGGCGCGATTTTACCATGCGCTGTCTGCGTCGAATAGTCAGGAGTCACCGTTCCAGATAGTATAGTACGGCATACCTGTTCTCATCTCCAGTTTTCTTGGCGCTGGCGATGCCCTGTTGGATCGACTTTTCGATCTACCGGGAAAGTTGAGACCAGGATCAAAGACACAAGACACAACGCACATGTTCCCGTTTCTTATCTAAAGCCTCTTGCGCGCCCGTAAGTTTTTTGGCTTTTTTCCGCTCGTTGACCTCAAAGGCAGCGGGCGTGCCTTCGAAATACTCGAGTGTCTTGTTTCGCAATATGATGCTCTCTTCAACGACATTGTTCAGAAAATCCTGGTCATGCGAGATGAGCACAAGAGTGCGCGACTGGGAGCTAAGGAAGCCTTCGAGCCAGATTATTGCTTCTAGATCCTAATTGTAGATGCTTAATGGACGTATAAAGCAAAACGGACAACGCACCAAGAAATTGGACGGTTCGTCGAGAAGCAAAACATCGCTATGAACAAGAAGCGACGTAGCCAGCGAGCAGCGGGACCTCCAGCCTCCGGAAAGAGAGGTATAAGGACCTTGCATCATTTCTTGAGTGAAGCCCAAGCCGGAGAGAATAGTAGCAGCACGCGCTTCGGTAGACGAAGTTTCGAGCTTCAGGTGTAGAAATTAGGAGCAGAGAATGTAGATAGTTCAGAGCATACTAGTTCGAGCGTGACCTGGATATTTTGGAGCATCTCCAGAGCCTGGTTCATAATATCGGGTTCGATATCGCCCGTGTCAACCGTGTCGAGCCTCGAGGAATGTCAGTCATGACAGCGTTTAAGCCGACACATCCTCACAGCAGCTCGGCCTGTCTCACGTTCTCTTCGGCCTTGATCTCCTCCAATCGGGCGTCCTTGCCACGCGCACCGGATCTTCGACTCGCGATTTTCTTGGCCTCTAGCAACTCCCGGCGACGCGCATCGAGACGCAACTCATAAACGATACGTTGTGTCTGGCGGAGAGAGGTGGCCTCGGTAGCCTTGGTCAAGGCTGATGGACAATTTAGTATCAATATATTTCCTGATACATGCATACCTACTTTCAAGTTCTTCTACCGCAGCCTGACGTTCCTTGTCGCCTTTGACTACGTGCTCCAGGACATTTATAGACTCAACACCGGGAGTATCGGTCGCTCTTGCGCTGTCCTCGACCTGGGATAGCAGGAGAATTCGGATGGATGGACTCAAGCCAGGGATGAGCTTGTCCGCAATCGCAGTCAAGAGCGTAGATTTGCCGCTCCCGTTCCTGCCCACGAGTCCGTATCGAATTCCTTGCTTTAGACGCAAATGGCTTGAAGAGATGAGCTCCCGTTCTCCAATAGAAATGGTAACGGCCTTGAGATCGATCTCGAGGGTGGTGTCCAAGGTTTCGGTATGGAACCGGGATTGCTGGGAAGTCGCAGTAATAGGGTTCAAGTTCTTGGAGGTTGCCTTCGCTTTGGGGGCCATGGTGGTAGGGGAGAGCAAGAACAGTAAAGTGTCATACGGGACCGAGTGATAGGTATAAAGCACTTTTATCGCACAGCCACTGAGCCCCTATCCTATTCAAGTTCTACCCAAATGACACCTGAGCTTTCTGCGCTGGTGCTGTATGAAGGCCACATCGGAGGGGGCGCGAGGCAATGCGCCCTTCCTGTGAGATTCCTCGGCGAGTATATCTGTCCTCTGAAGCATGTCGAATCCTGCAGGGTCGAGAAACTCCCTAGCCCATCGTGCCATCGGCATCCGACTCTCAACTCCTCCCTACCGATTCTGAGGCGATAACATACCCCAACCAGACGCTGGGGTCGGTGTCTGCAACCGGCGTCATCGCCGGCCTTATACCAGGCGAGCAGCGTGACGAGGACGCCTAATACTGCCAGTGCTCCAGGTACTTTGCTGGCCACGTTGTACTCTCACCACTCGACGTCGTGCTGGCCAGACTGGGCACGTCGACGCTCGTCGACAAGCTCGTGGAGCTCAAGGAAGTGGCGCGCACTCAGCTCAAAGCGACACTGAAGGACGCCGTACTGGCAAACCTCAGCAAGGAGTCCATACCATCGTCCAAGCCTGCTGAACGTACGATAGATAATTGGCTACCAGCTTTCTCGGCTTGTAGATGTTGGTTTTGTTCCCTCAGAAAGTATGTTTCCACCCCGCTGAACCTGCACAGGCTGCTCAGGAACCTGCAGCTGCCAACCCGCTACTCGTGCTAGACTAGTACTTCCCTATCCCTGCTGAGAAGCTGCCCGCGCAAGAGCAGCACGGCTACAAGAAGACGATGCCTTCCTTCGCCTTTCCGCAGCAAAGGTTTCAACCATCTGTAACATCTTCGTCAACGTCGAGTTCACCAAAACCGACCCACCGACTGTCGCCTCCAACTCCCCTCATCGGTGCGAGCGCTAACGTGGCCAAGTATCAACAGGCTATCATCAACGCGGACGACCTTCTGACGTTCCACGCGACTTTTTGTACCGACGCTATCTTTCCACGGCAAAGGAGAGAACACGAAGCTCTTTTTCTCCATCCTCAACCAAAAGCGCCTCGAGACCCTACTGTGGCAGCCTTCTTTGAGGCAGTTCAAAAGAATGAAATGAAATGCAAACTAGAGAGCAATGTATTTAAGCGCGATTCACAAAAGTTTTGGGGACGCAAGATTCTGACATCAGAGCAAGAGAAAAAGAGTACTGGTTGAAGTCTACTTCAGTTTGATGGAGGAGAAAAATTATTCGGTGTAAGGTACTCTAATACCCAGAAAATACTAGCATTATGCTTCAATACTATGCACCTGGTTTACCATCGGGCTTCCACTATCCCAACCGGACAATACACTCTTCTTCTCCTCGAGTCTTCGACCCGTCCAATCTTCCTCTCCCACTTTATCTGCCCAGTCATCCGTGTCCTCCCACGAGTCGCCCCACGCTTGAGACTCCTCTTTCGGGGGCGCAGGAGGGGAGCAGGCGCAGGCGTGGTAACCACCGGTGCAGTCTTGGGCGTTGGCCCAGGCCGTGGAGAGTTGACCGCCGGGCGGTTGTTATTACGGATGTGAATAGGGGATGGCGGGTTTCGGCGCTTCGGCTTGAGTTTCGTGGCCTCGCGAAGCACAGGCGCTTCGGGTGAGGAAGACGATGATGATGAGGCGGTGCTCGGCGGGTAGGCGTGTATCTCGACGGGCTGGCCCGGGGTGCTGGACCCAGAGGATTTAGGCTCCATGGGGGTCTGTAGCTTATCAGATGAATGTGAACGGGTGCTGGAGGGGGAGAGTGAGCGTGTGGTGAGATGCGGATGGCTCTCGATGTCATGTTGCGCGTAAGAAGTGGCGCCGTCGTCTTCGTCGCCGTCATCGTGTGGCGCCCTAAAGAGTGGTTCGCGGTCCAAAGGATCGGGGGCGTCCAGATCAAGCGCCAC